AGGAACTGCATTTGAATTGTACTACCGTTTTTACGCCCCGTATTATGATTTTTGCGCGTGGATTAAACTGTCTGGCTCCTGAATTAAGGTCGTTGGCAATTGGAATAAACATGGTGGCACTTTAATTAACCTCACTGGCAGGCGACCTAATTAAGTTGGCACTTGGAAACATCGTTTGTCACACAGATTATATAGCTTGGCGCTCGGATTATTTCACTGACGTGCGGATAATTCTAGCTGGCACTTGGATTAAAGTGACCAGCAAAACCTGTAATTCTGCTATGCTACTGCTCCCATGTGCGTGGTCATTCTTAGAGGGGTGTGTCTTGAAGAACAACGAAACGTAATTGTAGCCTTGTTGAGCAAACATACACCCTTTCAATGCATCCAACACCCTTACAACGTCAATAGCAGCAAAGATATTAAAATGCTCGTCACGCAATTGAGCACAATTCGTTATTGGGTCGGTGGATTATTGCTACATCACTGCAATAAACTTCATGTCTAAAACACAGTAAAAGACGTGCGAATTTTAAGTTCATCCTAGCCGTGATTTGGTAAATTTATGGAACCATCCCTGCCTCTGTGTGCTGCATTCTTCCCGCAAGAAAGCTACGCTTGTTATCGAGAATATCTGGAGTTTTAACTCAAGAGAAGATATAGTCATGAGTCACGCTTTATGAGGGCTTCGACAATTTCGACAAGGTGGTGTTTTCTAATCTGCATGCACTGACACTACAACAAGCACGGGCCTCTAGCTTGTAAGCTTCGCCAAAATGCGACCGCTGATACAGTAACCAGAAGTACATTTTTTGGCTGCAATACTTCCACCAGTAGGTTATTTTTTGTTCTGTTAAAATTACTTCAACGAACGGATCTAAATTGTCCCATCTTCCAACGCGACTTTATTGCCATATGTTGAAGTGTACAATTTCACATGCCTCATAAGGAAGCATTCGCCTATCACGGACCAGGAGGTGGTGAATCGAACATGTTTCACTGATATCTGCGACGTAGTCGTCAGAACTTCGCATTGGCTCGTTACTTTTGTTCGTTCATTTGTATTTTTGCGCTCTCAATAAAGCGGAGGCATACTTTTTTTTTCTTTCCTCTTTCTCGAGCGGCGTCGGCTACCGCGAAAGGAGCGTGGGTGACAGCTTGCATGAGCCACAGGTACTGTTGCGCCATCTCAGGCCCCTTCCACAAAACAAGGACCGAAGTTTTTGTCTTCCCGGAGGTGCCGTTGGTCTGCGTTACTACTTCTAACACAGAATCGAGAGTTGATATGATATGTGGGGTTTAACGTCCCAAAACCACCATAAGATTATGAGAGACGCCGTAGTGGAGGGCTCCGGAAATTTCGACCACCTGGGGTTCTTTAACGTGCGCCCAAATCTGAGCACACGGGCCTACAACAAGAATTGAGAGTTCGGCAAGTTGGTGGATGTTCATTATAGAATATTATACAGCGCAACGGATTAGATAAGCATATATAAGGGTCACAGCACTGAACTCACAGCTGAAATTGGTTTAAAAAAAAGTAGAGAATATAGTGGAAACAATAGTTTTATCTCTCGAAATGAATTTCCATTGTGAAGTCAGCGGTGTGCCTTTTTCTGTCTGTATCTAATTCGTTCTGTTGTGAAATACCCTACGATAAATAATTCTAACGCCGTGCACCAGGTGTAAAATAGCACCGCTGCAGTTTTATAGTACATCTATAGGCTGGCGGCCTTTTCGAAAACACCGCGTAGAAGCCCTCTCAGACATTTCTGGGAATACTTCTGGCACGACAAATGCTTTTACAGTTACCCTAGGTCGAGATAAAGCGTGGCATTCTTTCCAGGCGCTATCTGTTGACAAAATACCTACAACGTACTAACGCACAATACGCGTGGTCACCGTGGTGGGGTATTCCCAAACAAGCTTCTTGTGTGAAAGGCAGGTGATCGCTGAGTGAGAACTATGTGACACTGTTGGAGTGTTCGGTGTGCAAAAATATATGGAGAACACCAGAATAGAGCCTCAGTCAAGTGGTGGCGCAGCCGCGGCAAACATCAGCTTTTCAATCTGTACACACAATTGTACTGCTGTTGCGTGGAAGTGACCAATGAGTTTCGCATATTATTTTCTAAGAACTTCACTGAAATTGTCGGCAACGGCAATTTGTGCGCGCCGTCAGCAAGGTTTATTTTTTTATAAGTTCCTTCACACTACGTTTCATTATATTAGTCTCTTCTAATACATGCGCCGCAATCTACGCTAACCTATATCTTGAGCGAGAAATTTCGCGCTGATTCTTCCTTTTTAAAGACGGTAGTCTTTCTTGATATACATCAACGCATGAACTTTGGTCCATGTTTTTGTTGATCTGTGTGTCACACGATTCCACCACCCGGCGAAAGCTAAAGCAGTTCCTGAACGCTCAGCCATCTTGTTCAGCTTGCTGCGTTCAAGCTTGTGAAGACTGCCAATCAAAAAGCAAGTAATATGCATTCTTCGGTAAACATTGTTATGCAACTATTTAGTAGTGTGTACCTTCATTTTTAAACTGTATAGGCATGTAGCTCTAAACAGCACAGTGCTTATTGCACTGCGCTGATAATTCGACGATGCGAACAAAAAAAGCCGTTGTTTCCTACGCTTCGGTAACATGTCACGGTGCCGCCACCTACCAGTTGCTATGTTTCTTGAAGTTACTGCCAGATTGCGTCCACATCTTACGTAGCGCGTACATAGCGATATTTTCGCACCAAACGTCAAATAAACGTTCTCTCTCCCCAGACATGATACTACAGTCTTTCGAGAACATTTCCTAGCGGAGCAGACAGTTGCGCTGCCAATTTTTTCCCATTCTGTCCAAGCGCTGTCGGTTCGAAGAACAAAGGCGCTTCTGCTAGCAGTGAAGCTCACGCTTCATCCTTATTACTTAGTCAGAACGCAGCCGTTTTAAACGAAAATGATGCCTGTACAAGCACTGCAGGTGACGCTTGGCCCGAACTCCCAAAGATAGATGCGCCTGATGCGAGGCATCAGACTTCAACAGCGAGGGACACTTCATCAAAACCTTATGACTAAACGGACGAAGGACAACTTATCGGTGGTCAGCACCCTGGTCAGTGCTATGCGCGTGCTGCTGAGCAAGATCAAGACACCAACGGCTCAAAGCGTGTTGCAACTCCTTGACACCATCATTCTAGTTCTCGTAAGGCTTCAGAAGTCTCCTGCTTGAGAACGCCAGCGGCACCCTCATGGCTTCACCATCGGCAAAATTTCGGGTGCATGGAAGCGCACATACAATTAATGCAACAAATGTGCTCTCTTGACTAAGACACGGATGTGAGTCACCGTCTGCGATGTTAAGCACATAACTGCCGTTTTGTCGACGGCATGAGTGACATTTCTGTCTTTCTCTCTCTCTAACTTTTATTCTCCTTACCCCCTTCCCAGTCTAAGGTAGCCTGCAAGGCTCAGCCGTGGTTACCCTCATCGCCTTTCTTTCATCCTATTCTCTCTCTCTCTCTCTTATCCAGTAATTTCATTAGTTGCAACTAAGACATTCACGAGCATATACCCCGCCTTTTTTCAAAGAGACATTAAAACGCTGACTTGATTCAGATTGATGAAATGCACTCTGAGATTAGTAATGTCACAAGTTTCGTTATACTAAGTTCATTATTAACGGAGGAAAGAAAGACTTGGCTCTCATTCCCACAGTTCACTCAGTAATCCAAATGCGTGACGTCACAAATTTCAAAAAAATATTTCTCGTATTTTTGTGACATAGGTTCGGTGAAAGTTTTCTGAAACTTCAAATGTTAAGTCGATGCCACACAGAAATGACAATGTACTTTATTTTCACCGATTATAATGTCTGAGCACCAAGTACAGGCCGTCAAAATTTAAAACGTCAAAATTCTTGGTGCCGTAAGCTCAAGGTGGAGCCCCCATACGCATTTTATTTTTGGCGCATCTTCTCGCTTTCCAAGCGTCGACGCGCGATAAAGGTGGTGTTTAAGGTGCGGCGCCAGCCAATGGGACCCTGAATTGAGCGATGCATCCTCTCGGCCTGCACTAATTGAAACTTCTCTTTCTCTCTCTCTCTCTCTCTCTCTCTCTCTCTCTCTCTCTCTCTCGTGGCTGTGAAATTGTGCTTTAGCAATACGCAAAAAAAATTTCTCTTTAGTGTCTTCATGGGACGAAATTGACTTACGTCAGGTGAAGTGACATTATGCGGTCGTCATCGCTTGGCGTAACGCAGGCAAAACCACATCTGCCGTAGCCACCTGTAGTATATTGAGAGCGCATGAAATGGGTCTTCTTTCTCTTGTTCTTCGAGCGTCTTGGACGCGTTCAAACAGCGAGTTCGATGCTGCTCGAACAGCCGCTGCAGTTCAGTTGGAAGAGCATCAGCCGCGTTATTCGAAGTTCGCAGGCTTGGTCTCTGCCTTCATAAAGTAATCTTTTCGTCCACCTTACTTTCTTTGCATTGACGTCATAACTTATACAAATGGGATCGACAATGCTTCTTTTGCCTTTCTCTTGTGCGGCGGTTCTAATGAATTTTGTGTATAACAAAAAAAACGAGCCGCTATGCATTCCGATTCATATGTACATATTTCCAGGGTGATGTTTCAACTCATAGTGACCCCACGGGTTGCGTTGCGAAAGAAAATGCTCGCTGCTGGTTTTGTCTGTGGTTCACCCCCGTTCAATGCTCTACTAGATCGAATACGTGACAATATAGCGCCAGTACTGTTTAGCAAATCCAAACTTCTTATTCCTACTCTTGCAAAAGGTCCGCGCACCGCGTGTGGAATACCACTGGCATAAGTTGTAATTTTCATGTTATTTTTCTTTCTTTTCGAACAATGCTAGTGCCGGTTTTGTTAGAACAAAATATTGCCACAATAATGCTACATTTATTGCCATTCTCGATATGCTCAGCTCATTGAATGTTTCTTTTTTTTAACTGCCACTTCGCAGATAACCTGGCCAAGCACAAGCACCTCTACGGGGGCGTCTATTTCCCCCCGTCTTTGCCACGCACTGACACCGGCAAGCTGCAAAAGAACTTAATACGCAAGAATCCATGCTTCTTCACGACACAAACCTGACCGAAGAAACCCAATGTTCAACAGCGATGGTCAGCAGAAACGCTTCGTTGTTGCGAAGTCAGCATTTCAATCGGGCATCTTTTTTTCATACGTAAATTCAAGTTCTGAGAACTCATAAAAATTGAACCTTGAAAGTTCTATTTTACGAGGATATATGTTTTGAACAATGGTGACGTTATATCTGCATGACATTCTTGAAAAAATGACGCTAATTGTTTTAAACAAACAAAATCGTGCCGAGAAACGTGACGACGACATTGCCATCGCGTCCACAGTGAAAACATGCCTACATTATGACGATAGTTGGGCTAAGCTGCAGCATTCACTTATTTTATTTTAGTTTATTTACTTCTGAAATACCGTGTATTAACGGTAATCTGCAATGAACTTCCTTGAGTTCCTGAACTATCAAATGAGTATCATAGAGCTTCGTAGGATTAAACCAGAGACAAGCACACTACATCCTGTGGTTGGAGTAGAAAATTGCTGGCCGAATTCGGCATGTTTCTTTTCCTACCTGCTGAGCAAACGTTTCTTTTGTTTCAATGATGAAAATGTGAAGGCAATTTTGTCCGATTGCACATTCAAATATATCATGTCCTTCAACATTTCAGCACATATTTCTTACACCATATTTGTAGTCGTTGTGTTCACAAAGAGTCTTACGTCACCGCCGCTCGGCTTGTCTACAACACAGGAAAAAACCTGACATTCATTGTTAGGGAAGCAATTTTTTCTCATTATATCTTGCTACAGACATCACCAGGATTGCAGTTTCTCGTTATAGACCTCAATGACGGGTCACCACCTGTTCAATAGCCGCCCAGACAACGTTGTGTAAACTTATGTTTGCCCTGATATTATTATTTAGGCGCATGTTGTCACGGTGTTATCACCTGGACGAAGGGAGCATACTCGATGTTCAGACGAAACTCTTTATGCCGCTGACCTTGTAGCCAGGAACATAAAGGTCATAGTACAGCAACACACGTGCACTGGTAGCGGTGAACAGAGCGCCAGCTAGGGTTCAACTGACAAGTGGTGTTGCGCGTCTGCATTAACACACGTGGTGTCGAACATTCTAGCGTTTTCGCAAATGGCCGCGTAGGTTTGACAATAATCTGTTATGTCCACAAAGTGAAGCTTATCTGAACAAAATGATCTTCTATAATCGTCAACCTTCTAGAACCATGAGGCGCAGCTTGCACTGAGGATTCCGCACAGACTTTGTGGTCGAAAACCGAATTAAACAAAAGTGTAGATAAGAAACGCGCGTAAAATGGCCACCCTTTCACAAAGCAACTTCCCGATGCTTAAAACTGAACACTGTGAAAAATGCATGAACAATAGGAGTAACAGTAATGCAAAAAAGCACAGCGAAAAATAACAAGCAATAGAGTACATTAATAGAGAAACAAGAACAAGGAACACAATGCTTAAGTTCGTTAACGCGCATGCAATGGCTTGAGGCGCACGACATGAACTATTGCAGGTCGCGCACGACGCCATGGAGAGTTCGCGATGCCGTCGGAGACAGCATGGTCGAGTGTGTCGAGACGTCAATGTTTTTCACTGAGGCTACATTGACGTATCGGCGTCTATACCCAAAGACGATCTCCGGGCTGGTATACCACGAAGTGTCGTTGAAGATTGTATTGGTAGCAGTCGGTCGTCTGCTGGTTCTTGATGCGGAGGCGGACGAGTTATCGGGCTTCTTCGGTGTGCTGAAGGCAGTCACGTTGAGGTTTTTCACGTCAGTGAAGCTTGGTAGCATGTCGTCAAGTGTCATGGCCAGGTTCCTTCCGTAGACTAGCACGTATGGTGACATCTGCGTCATCTTCTGCACCGCCGTGTTGTATACGAAGGTCACGTACGGAAGGATAGCAACCCACGGCTTGTGTTCTACATCGGCGTACATGGCGAACTCGTCAGCGTCTGTCTTGTTTAGCCGCTCGTTGAGGCCGTTGGTTTGTGGGTGGTACGCTGTCGTCAGGCGGTGGCATGTGTGGATGCCGAAATTTGCTGAGTTAACTCAGCAGTGACGGCCGTACCTCTGTCAGTGATGAGGGCCTCTGTCTTGAACAAAAAACTTGGCCTTCATAGTGCACTGCCTCTAAGTACGATTCATTTATTTCCGCAAGTCGACGTAGGAAACCGTTCCAGCAGGTTCATATCGATTTCCGGGAACGGATGGTGAGGTTGTTCGATCAGCTGAAGGAAGCCCGCTGGTCTTGTCGGCGGTGTTTATCGTTATTTACAGCCTCGACATGTCCTGGAGTAACGAGTGACATCGGCGGAATTGTGGCCAGTGGTACTTTTTCAGTATTCGCGCAAGGTTACGGTAAACACCGAGGTGTCCAGCTGTCAGGTCGTCTTCTAGAGTGTGCAGTGCTTCTGGTCTTCCTGCTGAGGGGACCACGAAAAGGTGTTGAGTTCGTAGATATAACTCCGTCTTGCAGAAAAAACGACGCCAGTCCTCTCTTGAATACATTCGGAACAGTCGCGCTGTCATCCTCAAGGAAATCTACTAGGCTTTTGAGTTCCGAGTCATCACATTGTCACTCGGCGAAATCGTCAGCACCTGGGTTTCCCAAGAAGCAGTCATCATGTGGGTCGTCCAGCGGAGGTGCTTCGATGGGGGCACGATACAGGCAGTTGGCGTCAGAGTGTTTACACCACACTTGTAAACGACAGTAACGGCGATTTCCTGAAGTCCTATAGGCTCCACCGTACGAGGTGACTGGAAGGGTCTCTCGAGTGAGCTAGCCACCACAGGGCGGGGTGGTCGCTGACAACTCCAAAGGGCCTGCCGTAAAGGTTAGGGCGAAATTTCAATGTAGCCCATTATACCTAGCATCTTTAGACACAACAGCCAGTGCCCCTGGTGGTCCCGGCTCGAAGCTAGTGCGTTTTCAATGGAACCGAAGATTTTTTTAATATTTGTAGAGGGTGAATGTTGAAAAACACATGCAGCAGAGTGCGTCTGGGAACCTAAACAGACGAGAAGACTGCAGCGATTATGTTGGGGTAAGCTTCAATTTAGTTCCCAGAGCAGTTAAAGATCGTACAACGAGATTCTGCGGAAATGGCAAAAAAGTGTCCTGTTTTTCGAGACAAAGACATTTACTGCAGTGAGACTGAGCAGGTTATAATAATGGTCAACGCCCCGTATGTAGCGCTGACACTCAGCTTTCTATTGAAGTTATTCTCAACGTGCCGCGATTAGGATAGCAATGTTCCCAAACTCGCTTTTTGCAACACGGTCCTTAAAATGGTTGTGGTATATTTATGAACCCTTCCTTATCACAGGCGGGTCTGCGTCTATCGTGGCCGAGTGCGTTAGTCGCTCAGTTGCGGAGCTGAACATCCGCGCGCCGTCGTGGGTTCAATGCCACGTGCCGGAGCATTTTTTTTGTCAACCAGTGAATCAGTTCACAGCACCCTATTAGATGCCGCCACCGAAAGAAAAACAAGCTTTTGTTTCAGTTTCAATTTCTCGCTGTGATATTGAAGAGTATTTCGTTTTCCTTCATCCTTACTACTTTTTAGTGCATTTTTAAATACTACAAGCATATCACAGTCTTAAGATGTACATTTGTAATTCTTTATTCTTTTAAACATCATAACAAAAAAATTGGCAGTGGCTTAGCTCAGATATGCCAGGATATACGTAGCGTTAGCAAAGGTTGAGCTGATAATTCTTATCTTTCCAGAGTGTCTAGGATTACCTTGATTATGATGCTTACTGCTGCTGCAACGACACACGTATATTGACACGTGCGGTTCTTTTGGTTTACGAAGGAAGACGCTATCACTTTCTGTTAAGCGCAACGCAGGCCGCGTTTATCTTGTATGCCACTCTGGAACGCGTTACGACGCGTGTATAAAAAACTGACACGTGCGGTTCTTTTCGTTTGCGAAGGAAGACGCTATCACTTTCTGTTAAGCGCAACGAATGCCGCGTTTATCTTGTATGCCACTTTGGAACGCGTTACGACGCGTGTATAAAAAGCCGGCGCAGTGCGCCACTGGGCGTCTTTTCTTTTTTTCCGTCGGCCGACGACTGTTCACGCCGCTGTTGCTATGAGTTGTGTTTGGCCCCGTTTCGCTGGGCACAAGTTCGCCCAATAAACCGTTCGCCTGACACCGCCCTGACTCCTGCGTGCTTCCTCTCAAGTGCTGCGTGTTTCACAACCTCGTGACATCTGGTGGAGGTGCTTCTCGGTCCATGTACCGTACGCCCCCGTCCAGCCGTGAGCCAAGCCCAAGCCGGCAAGAGGACGACGCCAACCCGGTCGTTCGAGTGAGCCGAAGACAACAAGGACTACCGCCCGAATACCTGCCGCTCCCTGACAAGGACAAGAAAACAAAGGCTGCTACGAAGCCGGCATCCACGATGACGGAAGCTAGTTCTTCGGCAACCGTGGTCGTCAACCAGCCCAAAGAGCCGCCTACCTTCCGCGGATCGACCTACGAAGACCCGGAAAGCTGGCTTGACATTTACGACCGCGTCGCAGCCCTCAATAAGTGGGACCCGGACGACAAGCTGCGTCATGTGTATTTTTACCTGGAAGACGCCGCAAGGACTTGGTTCGAGAACCGCGAGTCAACGCTTCGAACCTGGGACGACTTCCGCGTTGCTTTCCTGCGCACCTTTGCAAGCGTCGTGCGAAAGGAAAGAGCCGCAGCACTGCTTGAAACTCGGGAGCAGCTCCCACACGAAAACGTAACGATCTTTACGGAGGAGATGACGCGACTTTTCCGCCACGCCGACGCCGACATGTCTGAGGACAAGAAGGTTCGCCTGCTTATGCGAGGAGTGAAGCAGGAGCTCTTCGCCGGACTGATCAGAACCCCGCCAAAGACGGTACAAGAGTTCCTCTCCGAGGCTACCACCATCGAGAAGACTCTTGAAATGCGGACCAGCCAATACGATCGGCGCATGTCGCCAGACGTCGCAGAAGTCCGAGGACTCTGCCCCGACGACCTGCGCGAGACCA